AATTATACATAAATATTTGGTCTAAATCCTAATTTTATGTCATTTTAATGAGGATTTTTTAAGTCATTTGAAAAAAGAAACCTTAAATAGTTTTTGAATCTTGAGATTTCCCAGCTGGAATGAAAGAAAAGCTTTGATAGCTCACAGGGAAAATCTCAAAATTTTAATGCATTTTTCATCAAAATCAGAGGTTTTTTTGTTGCTAATCCTCAAAAAAGTGCTTCAAATCATATTTTTAGAATAAGATTTCAGACAGTTCATTGAAATGATACATTGATAACACATTTATTTGTTTGACAAAATGTCATTTTTGCAAGTGTTTTAATCAAAACACTATATCTGCCTGTTTCTCCACATTCAGCTTTTAGACTTAATCCTGGTTTCGATGTGATGGGTCACAAATAAACAAATTAATGATTAATACTGGTCAGAGCTCTGAGTCTCACCATGACGATGATCTCGGTGCACTGGCTGTAGTTTCCTCGAGGAGCCCAGGTTCCGTTGGTCTGACACTCTCTGTAGACCCGATCTGAACACAAACATAAACAAACATCTGTAAACATCCTGTTTGATCAGAGGCCCTGTGGTTCTGCTCACCACCAGCAGGGGGCAGGAGGAGGCTCTAACCCTGATCTCTGAGCTGCTCCCAACAAACCGTCAGATTCTCTGAAACYTTCTTTCATCAAAGATGACAGAACACCAAAAAATGAAATGTACTGAACCTTTTACTGAACAGAACTATGGTTCTGTTCAGATAAACATTAAAAAGATACAACAGGATCTGATGGTCCAGACCCACAGCAGCTCTGATGRTCAGGTCCCACAGTGGGACCGGGTCAGCGGTTCTGCTCCACCACTTGTTTTGGGTCTTGTTTGTGTTGCTGTGTTCTCACACTTTAAGAAACACACACTTCAGTGTGAACCTCCCACACTCGTCACTGACGAATCAACACACACTCGTCTGTGATCCCTTCTCAGCTTCTGTAACCACGGCAACACCAGAACCGGTCCTGACTGCCTGAGCCTAACTGGTACCGACTCCCCCCGTCTCAACCCTGAGCGGGGGGCGGGCKTCGATCATTGTTCCAAAACTTATCAGCTGCATGACTTAATAACCATCTCTGTGATTGACAGCTCGTCAAACGGCCAATCAGAGGCCGGAAGGTTGGTGACATCAAAGAAGAGAGAGTTGGGGAAGAGATGATGATGATGATGATGATGATGATGAAGGTGGAGTGAGACAAGAACTCCAGCTGGGTTTGTGCAGCACGTGCACGTGCACGCACACTCACAGATGAGTCATTCTGTGAAGTCAGATCAAGAAATAAATCTCTAATTACACAGGATATTTATGACCACCCACTCATTAACACACACGAGCACTGTGTGTGTGTGTGTGTGTGTGTGTGTGTGTGTGGGGGGGGGGGGGGGGTCCAGCTGGCAGTGAATCAGGACTCTGAAATCCTGGTCTGTAAACCAGCAGAGTTCTGGAACACCAAGGCGATGCAGAATCTCGATCCTGGTCCGGAGAGGTTTCCAGGAGACGACTGGACTCCTTTTTATCTGAGACGAAGGGTCTTTGTTGGTCYGGTCTACCAGGTCCACAGAGACCCACTGCTCCTGGGGGTCCCTCTGTGTAAAGAGCTTCGGCTGAGGTGGAACCGATGCAGAGGTTTCCAGCTGTTCTTCAWTCGTCCCGTTTGAAGAACTGGACCTTTTATTTAACGAAGCTGGAAACTTTCTCTGAAACTGCATCAGAGACAAAATCTGGATGTTCAGATTTTGTTCTTTAACTAAAAGGTTGTTTTTCTTTCATGAAATCATGTATTTTTTAAAATGTTTTTTGTTTTTAGTTTCTTGTTTTCCAGGCTCAGCCAAGAACCGGAGGACTTACGGTTCCTTCATCCAGGTGTTGTAGTCAAGACCACCTAACCCGAGACCAAGACCTTTAGGGTTTGGACCAAGCTGAGACCAAGACCAAGGGAGGGCGAGACTGAGGCAAGACCAAGACCAGATAAAAAAAGAAAAATGTGTCCTAAAAGATGGAGTATGCAGTACACATGTACAGTGGGGGGAGGGGGGGGGTATTTAGTTTCTCATAGTTGAGGTGTCCCTATGATGTCGATCACAGGCCTCTCATCTTTTTAAGTGGGAGAACTTGAACAATTAGTGGATGACTAATTACATTTTCCACTCTGTAGCTAACTTAATATGTAGAGCTAATATTGACTAAATGTTTGTGTGAGGGCAGAGGAAAGAGTTTTGTTACAGAGGCAGATTGTTAACGTTGATAAAAGTTAAAAGTTGTCCCATCGTCTCTGAAAGTGAAGCACTGCTGAATGTACAAGTTGCTGTATGATTTCTCCTGGTTGTTATTGTTTTATAATTATATTATTTATGATTCATGTAGTCAAATTGTTTTACTTAAAATTTTGCAGACATCTTTTAACGCTCCCAGAGAACCACTGCTCACTTTCCTGGAGTGCTGCGTGTGAGTGGAGAGAGTGGGGATGGGTGACAGCCGCTAACAAGAATACATAAATAAAAAATAAGTCAGGTTTGGATTTGAATCAGTTGATACATTTTAAATCCAATGAAACAAGAATGTTAACTAATAAACTGGAAAATATTTTGGATATTTAGTGATATTTCCACAGTTGTGGTCTTGAAATAAAGTTCTGAGTCCTCAAARTCCAAGAAAAGACCAAGACCATRAAAAAGTGGTCTTGAGACCAGTCTTAAGGCCAAGACAATTTCAAGAACTACAACACTACATCCAGGTCCTGATCAAGCTGGGACGTCCRACACGTGACAGGAAGTTACTAATGTACTACTTGCTAATAAAACCATGAAAATAAACCATTTGATTAAAGCAGCAAATAAACTGAACTGAAACCTGATGAAACTAATCCCAGATTTATTTAACCTCCGGCTGTTTGTTATCCAGGATCTAAGCATTGTCAGTTTGGAGCAGAGAAAACCGGGAGATGAAAAATAATCTAAAATCGCTGCAATAATTCCTGCTGTTTCATCGAGAAAAAGCTGCAGACTGGACAGAAGGAGGAAAYGAGGAAGAGGATGTGAAGAAATGAATGTGAGGGAGGAAGATGAAGAGGGATAAATCAGGATAAGGAAGCTGAAATCTGACTGAGCTGCAGAGCTTCATTATTCTCAGCGTTCATCAGAGAAAACCCAACATTTTCCAGATATAAATAGACGTACGAGAGAAGTAAAGGCTTTAGGAGAAAGAAGCAGTTTGAACTGAATGATTAGGTTTGAATAATAAACGTTCTGCTCTGGGAGGAACACAACACGTAGGAGGAGAGACTCTTCTCAGAGGTTGAACCTGTCAACAGATAAATGTTTTTATTAACATTTATTCTGGCTCCAAACACGACACATCTGTGGTTTTTCTGACTCCTGCCTCAACGTATCGACTATCAGCGGCAGGAYGAAAACATGTTTGTCATTCAAACCCAACGTTTCATTATTATTCAAACTTCTGCATGTGTGACACGTCCGGGTGTCATCCTTATGAATGGCTCTTCAACGAACCCATGTGTTCTTCCAGAGGCCAGACGAGAGACGATGTGTTGTGGATCCCAGTTCGCCTCCTTTTGTTGTATTTGTTAAAATAAAACATTGTTAAATGTTAAAGCTCTCTGGATTCTATATGTTGGGTGTCCAGAGTCACTCCTAGATATTTACACTAWGACACACACTCACCGGCCACTTTATTAGGTACACCTTGCTAGTATCAGGTTGGACCCCTTTTACCTTCAGAACTGCCTCAATTCTTCATGGCAGAGATTCAACAAGGTACTGGAAACATTCCTCAGAGACTGTCTGGTCCATATTGACATGATAGCATCACAAAATTGTTGCAGATTTGTTGGTTGCACATCCATGCTGTGAATCTTCTGTTCCACCACATCCCAAAGTCTATTGGACTGAGATCTGGTGACTGTGGAGCCATTCCAGTACAGTGAACTCATTGTTTTCAAGAAACCAGTCTGAGATGATCCACGCTTTATGACATGGAGCGTTATCCCGCTGGAAGCAGCCATCAGAAGATGGTAGACTGTGGT